TTAAAAGAAAGAAAAAGTATTTATTCTTTTAAATGACATAACTTATATCCTTTCACTTTTATAAAGAGGTGTGACTCACATCTTTATTTTTTTTATCAGCTCTCTCCTCCTTTATCTATCTCTTTCCTTCTTTTAAAATGACACAACTTTACATACTTTAAAATGACAGACATTTTATCCTAAAAAGAAATAGTGAAAAATGACATACTTTAAAGTGAAGGAAGCTAAGAAGAAATTTGCCAAGGACCCAACGGGTGCAGCTAAGTTGGTATTTGGCGCTGAGTTAGTGGGGTTGGACATGTGTTCGATTCCTGCTGAATGCATTCTTGGGGAGGGGGCTGAATCTTTAGTCATCACTGATCCCCCGCACTCCGGATTAGTCCCATAGCCGGCTCAAAGAGTAGAAGCTCGTGGGGATACCGGAGGAAACCAACTCGCCTCAAAGAGATAATTAGGGTTGGGTAACTCTAAAAAAAAAAAAAAAATTGCCAAGGGAATAATCTGCTACTGGGCATTAATTGCCCTGTACGAACTTTCTTGCAGAGAATGTGCAGTATCTTACTTTGGGATGCTCATCATTTAGTTACATGGCCCTGACATAGCGAAGAAGATTATTATAATGGAATTTTGACGGCACTGTATTGCTGCTAATGGAGTCCCACAGATTAGTCCCAGGCCCAGCCATTAATCTTGGCAGATAGTATTGACTTTGTTTATGTGGCCTTTTACCCATGCAAAAAAATAAACATACTATCCGTTTAATTTTTTTTTTGATAAATTAATTATTCATTTAATATAAATGAAATATTTATAAAAAATATATGTATTTAAATCGTGCATTATAGCAATGCGCACGCAACGCATCATGATAGTGTACGTTGAGGTTGTGCAAGCCCTCGTGGGTATTTTGAAGAATACAATATGTGACAGACACATTTTAATTTTCGTACAAGTTATGTATGAGGTAATATATGACTTGAATATGTTATCAAAAAAATATATATATATGACTTGAATAAACAAACTCTTCTCGTATTAAATTAATAAATATTTTATCAAAAGAATTCAACTAGTGATATATTTTATTTTTTGCATTAAAAGGGTTAAAAAGCTATTAATGTGTGTGTATGTACCAATGTTTAAAAATTCGGTCCGGCCATCAACTCGATCGAGGTTAGGAAACACGAGTTCAATCAGAAAGTCACAGAGTTATTTTGTTGATCTGATTTTATACATTAAAAAAATATAAATATATATTCAATATGAAAAATTCAAACCACCAATCATTAAAGATTCAAAATATACTTAACATAATTCAACCAATTATATCTACAAGTCAATGTATTCACAAGCTAATCAAAGTATCAAACTATTAAAGTATAAAACACATATTCCAATGGAGTTAATGAAAAGTTATATCATCAAACTCAGACCTTCTTGTTCTTTTCATACACCTACAATAATATGTGAAAGGAGATCCTTTACCCAATTGAGAATAGCGGAGGAGAGGCGACGACACGACAAATTAACGGAGGGGAAAGAAGAACCAACACGGTGGAGGAGATCACCGGAACAGGGAGACCGGGTCTGAGTCTTGGAGAGAAGATCAGAAGAAAAGAAGTTTTTGTTTAGGCTGCAACAAGTTTTTGTTTTTGTTCTCTTTTTTTTTTTTTTACACATCAAACGACGTCAAATTTGAAATTTGACACATATCTCATCTGAAAGTCATTAGATCAAAAAATATCAATGGTTTCTCATGCTTACAAATCAAAGTCGCTGATCTTTTTTGATCTAATGGCTCTCAGATGATATGTCAAATTTCAAATTTGACACTGGTGTCAAAGGATCCTACCTCATATATATATATATATATATATATATATATATATATATATATATATATATAATGACCCCTTTAACCCTCTTACCCAAAAGTCACGAATTTAATCGGGCGATCAAGGGGTCAATATGCAAGTAGAGTCTAACTACTAATCCAAATTTTTAGAGAGAGAGTCAGTGACCCAGAAGAGTCGACCCTTAGATTCGACCCTTAGATGAGACAGAGTTTTAAAATACTGGTATGTACATGGCCATTTATATAATATATATAGTTTCATTGTAAATAAATATATTCTATTTATATTTTAATTTTAGTAGTTATACAAAGTTCTCGTACATAAGATATAGTTGAAGTAAAGTGTTCAGCCGTTTCCAAAAGTCAAAGCCTAGATACAGATGTGTGTCGTGTCCAAACATCTACATCTGCTGGGTGATTGGACTCCCCCGGTATGAATTTGTGATAATGTAAATTGGGACATATATTTAGGTTTCATTAATTATCTTGTCGAAAACAGAAGAAATATGTAATATTCCACACAAAAAATTATTCTTAAACCTTCGTTCTGTCTGTACCGAAATGTCCTTAAAAATCGTCACCGAGATTGCATGCAAACCCAGATGTTTTCAACTCCAAATTAAAGATGAGAGTCGAATAAATTTTGTGGGAGAGTTATGTTTTTTTTTTTTTTTTTTTTTACGTAAGTACATTAAATAGCTAGCTGATTATTTTAGAAAAAAAAATATGGGAAAGGAAGAATCAAACATAGGTCTTCTATAAAAAAGAGCGATCTACATACCAAACGTGATGTGTTTAAACTTGGGGGAGTATTCAGTCTTGTGTTTTAATTAATAACCGAACTAGAATATATTTTAATTAGTTAGTATAAACAATTTTATTTTATTTTTAGATAAACTCTGGTATCTTGCATGGAAACAATCATGTTCAGGAAGAGTCTAGAATTAAGGCTTTAAACTCCTTCCAAACATGTTTATATTTTATAGTAAGTAAAAATTTTGGGTAAAAGAAGCATAGCAATCCTACTAGAAAAGAAGAAGCTGGGGGATAGCCTCCGCAACAAGGGATCAATCAAATGCCAAAAATATTCATGTCTAAATTCTTGCAACGCCACGACGGTTTGGTAGATTGTGGGTAAAAAATTTCGTCACGCTTTTTAGCACCCTTAATAATAGTATAGATTTTCTTTAAGGCAAATTTTGCTTTTTTCGTTTTTGGATTAAATTTTCTCGGAAAAAGAAAGCTCAAGTTGAAAATTTGGAGTAATTGATGGGGATGTTCGGCTAACTACGGACATGATCTAGATATGAAGAAAAGACCCAAAATATGATATTTTCAACGCAGCTATAAAAGCGAACTGCATTCTCAGCCGAGGTTAAATGTTGAGTTTTGAAAACGTCTCTTACGGAGAGAGCCCTATCATATTATTCTACATTTAAGTGAATAGTCTCGTATCCAAAGCATATAAGAATATCCTGAAAAACCAACAAAAAATCCAATCAGGGGATAAAGAAGCTGTTAAGAGTTACCAAGAGAAATAAGACCAAATAGATAAAAAAAACCAAAGAAGAATAAGTAAATTGTAAAACTCTTTTCATTGTCCTATCAATCTCAATTAATGAATCTATTGATTTCTATAGGACACGATTGACTAAAGTGGGTCAATAAGGGACTTCAAAACTATATTCTTGTTAGGGGTGTTGAACAAACAATCCAAACCGATTCAAACCGCGATAACCGAACCGAAAAATCGATAATCGAATACCGAAAAATCGAAAATCGAAAAAAAATCACAAATTTTAATTGGATTGGATCGGTTTCTTGTGGATTGATGAAAACCGATCCAATCCAAACCGATCCAATATATTTTCTCCTCTACCTATGTGGGTCTTTCCTCAATCATAGCTCAAAAATTTCTAAACCCAAGACTCATTAACCCATCAACTAAACCAAGAAAAAATCTAGTCACATCTCATCAACTAAATTTTATCTTTTGTATTTAAAAAAAAATCAATATATATAAAAGATGTTATTTGCACTATAATCATGAAATAAATTTTAGGATTTCAAAAAACCGAAAATCGATCCAATCCAAACCGAAAAAAATTGGATTGAATCGGATCGGATTTGGAAAAAAATCCAAACCGAATGGATGATTATATGCTCAAACCGAAGGGATTGGATCGGATAATTTTTACTTCCAAAACCGATCTAATCCAGACCGCGAACACCCCTAATTCTTGTAGGCATGATTCATTAAAGTGAATCAATAAGGTAAAACTAGTGGAAATAAACCGTCCTCCGATTTTTCTAAACATAAAGGTGCATACGCCTTAAATGCAAGTAGATGCACCGCTCCCTTTTCTTATTCTTTATTTGAAGCTAATGCCTAATATGAAAGAGAAAAGTAATCATGTAGCCTTAAAAAATAGGACAAAAATCAACCAAAATTTATCAAAATTTAAAGGTAGTTAATTTGATAAGTTAAAGTGATGGAAATCACTCATTTATCTAAGAATAAGTAACAATGTGAATTTATTCTAGCCAAAAAACTTAACAATATTCTGAATATATGGTACTTTTAAAATAATAAGAATAACGCCGCCTTATGACCTAAAAATTTGAAAAAAATGAATACTAATTTTGTCAAAATTCAACTGTGGTTTTTAGTTTCTAATTAGCAAGAAAAGCATGGTAAATAAGTAATACGATCACAGATAACAGAAAAAAGAGCCTCTTTTTAAAGCCTAGTAATTAGCTTCTCGTTAGCAAGAAAAGCTTCCACATCCTAGAAATTAATAGTATATTTTCCAACTCTCTTCGACGAATCTTAATCATCTTATCTTCCTCTTTGTTTTTAAAAAACAAAGAACATTCATTTAACCTAAATTGAAAACACCGGGCAAAAGCAGAGAGAACTTCAATCGAATCAGTACAGCCATGGAACGCAGCCAAAGCAGACAACTCTACCATGAGCTGAACGTAGAATGTTGCTTTGATATGGAACCCTGTGGCTTCATAGTTAACAGCATCTAGCATCCCATAAATTTTTAAATTGTTACGTTTGCAAGTACCAATATATATATATATATATATATATATATATATATATATATATATTAAAGAATACAAAAAGTTCACTTATATTAACTAATCCAATTAAACGAAGCATGGGGCAGTTTGCTTGTAACAATCTTTCTTAATTATCACAAGCAAAATTACAAGTTCCTTGATTAATTCAGCATACAAAATTCTCTTAACAGATATTAAAGGAACCAATTGGTTACATGAGTCGACCAACATAGGTAGCTTGGGGATATTGTCGTTGCAGCAGTGGCCATTGAACAAAAAGTTGATCAGCCATCCGCAACTTGTACAGGAGCAAGCCACTCAAGGAGAGCCTTCTCACTCTTGCAATACTCTCAACGTAGAAAATTGATGACCATCTGATTCCCAGTATCTATGTAGAAGCTTAAAAACACTTCAGTAGCATTATAAATAATCAAATAAATTGAATGATAACAGAGTAATGAAGGGAATAAGAACCTTAAATATGAATGCAATCGCACAGAGGGGAATGCAAGTTCCAGGTCCATTGCAAAGTATCTGGATAGTAGCAATACAGAATCACTGAAACTGTAACAAAGCAACATAAATCAATGATAGAAGCAAATAAGGATAGACATAGTACCACTTCAGGTCTAATTTTAATCATTAACCATAGTGCATGCACCATTGCAACTAAAGTAGTCCAAACTGAGGTTACATATGATTGACCAACTTCCCTACTCCTATATATCTTCATGAACCGTGCAGTATCAGTAACCCTTGTTCCATTCTGCAGTAAAATTGATACCTGATCAATATCTGTATACCAGTGACACCAAACAGAAGTAAAATTCAGAACCCATCAAGCGCTTATAAATATTCACATATTGCACCTATGCCAATAGACGAAAATAGAAAACAGAAAAGGTCAAGTTTAAGAGATATATATATCGATTTCATGTCCCCAAACCAAAAAGAATGGCAGAAATCAGCAAAGAAACTACTGGTACCATACAGAAAATACTGACTTTGATGAGAATTTATTATTTGAAAACAATTTCCAACAAGGTTTATAGCAGAAAATTAAAGACTACAAACTGCTTGTGACGATTAGCTATTAGATTCCTAGATACACTCTTACAAGCAACCTACATGGAACCGGGCAGCATTCCTTTGAATCTACTCATTCAAGCATTAATAGATTGAATCATTACTCATTAGTAATCATGTCTATAATTATCAGAGTCTAATTCTTCTCAAATTCAAATATACAGGACTTCAGCCAATATATTAACCACAAACAAAAAAAAGTTCCAAGGAATTTCCTCTTTAATTTCCAGGTAATTATCAAAAGCCAATATAAGACATAGAATGTTGAACATCTATCGTTACTTAACAAACACCATTAATAATAATATCCATATATTGCATCGAAGGTGCACCAAGTCACCAACTATCCAATCTCATATTGCAGAACCCCCCCACCCCAGAATAAATAAATAAAACAGAGCTCATCGAATAAAAGAGATTTCTAGAGACAAACAAAAACAGCACCTCAGCTGCCAGGGAGTTCTCCAGCAACTGAGCTTTTTGAAGACTCATGTTATCAGTAGCAGCCGCAATGTAGAATCTTGGATAAAACCTATCTTTCTGTAGCACTGCCAATAGATTAAGCATCTCAGCAGTATGACCACCTACAGCAGAATAAAACTGAAAATTGTGGAATTCTAATAAAATGTTTTGATATTGATGGAAAACAGGAAAATAAGGAAAAGTAGGCTCAAACCTGATCCTAAAATAATAAGGGTACTAACAGGTTTTGAAGTTCTTTTGCTCATGGGCCTGCTGCTACAGTAAATGACATAAAGGACACGAACCAAGATCAAGGTGACAACAAAAATGACACTTGAAAAGGTAGCAATTGAAGCCACATTAGAGAAGCTGCAACCAGTGCCTTTGTCCATTAGAGGCAGCTAAAGATTTCAGTTAGACCTACACTTACATCTTCCCTACAGAATTCAGGATAAAATCAATGGAGTAGAAATGATTAGTTTCATAAGCATGTTTGTAATTGTATATTCACAGCTACATAATTACCTCCATGCGAAAGAGAGATGCATTGTTAGAACAAACACACTGCATAGAAGACTATATTTTACATAAGTTAATGTAGGAGACTAGCCTAAGGACAGAAACAGATATATAATGAAGTGTACGCAAAGTTATCAAATGCAAATTGCGGCATGTCATGGCCAGCCCCAAAAAACGCTATAGCGCTATAGCGGGTTGCGGTTGCGGAATAGATATATGACAGAAATAATGACAAAAAGAAACATTTTTTAAAGGTAGAGATGGCATAAGTGATAGAGAGAAACGCAGATAGACTAAAAAACCCTTAAAAAATTTCTGTTACACATTTGAATTTAGGACAAAAATGACATTTTGCCTCATGAGAGCAATATGACCGCGATTTGGCCGCAAATGCGATCGCAATGGCCGCAATTGAATTCCAGTGCGGCGTGGCGCGGTTTCTTGCGGCGAGGCACTGCAACTACAGCGCGGCTCGCAGCGCTATTGCGGCGCAATTAACTACTATGAGTGTACGTGATTCTATCAGGCTTTTTTTTTGGTTATATATGAAATTACAACTTGATGAATAGTCCTACCATATCAGATTTCCCATCCACCTCACAAACAGTGCTCCCCAACAACAAACTAACACACATGACACACCGAGAAGTCCTTTATCTCAACAACATTAAGCTTATGATAACAAGTAACCAATACATCGATTGAGCTTAATAGACCTTATTGCATAAAAATGTTAAAAGAATTAGTACTGCATCAAGTTTCAGGTTGATGCTACAGATAGAAACTAGGGTGGCAATCAAGACAACATGAACAAGATATGCAAGTCTAGCCCGAATACCTGACCCACTCACTAAGGGACTCTATCTGCTACTTCCAAATCCAAACCCAACCTAAATTCCAACCCCCCCACCCCCACCCCCCCCACAAAAAAAAAGAGAGCAAAAATAAAAGAAAAAAGCAAGACCTTGAAAATAAAAAAAATAACAACTGATTTGAAAAGCTTGATAAGGAATAGTGACAAAATATTAAAGAATGCAAAAAATAAAGCAAATCCCAAACATGTCATCTACTGTTATGGCCAACACCATCCTCTGCAACTTAGAACATTTGCAACTGGATTTTCTTTTACCACAACTGGGCAACCAATCTAAATTTCAAATCCACATGGCAAGTTGGTATTAATAGAGCCGTCAAAATGGGCCAGCCCGTCCCGTTAGGCCCTAATCCGTGCGAACTAGGGCCAAAAGGCCCGCATATTAAACAGCCCACATGGGCCAAAAAAAAATATAACCCTGCGGGCTAGGGCCAACCCGCGGGCCAAAAATCAATTTTCAAACTTAGAATTCACTTAATATAGTATAAAAATAAATAAACAAATAAAATCCAGATAAGAGACCAAATTAAGAACCAAGAAGGCTTAAAGTACAGCCACATATTTTTATAATAAGGATTTCATGAGAAGAAAATGAACAGGAAATAAAATCACTTTGAATTAAACCAATAAGCTGTCATTAGAAGTAATAGAATCCTGGTCAATAGGCTAAATAAAAACTTAAGGCTCAAAAAAAACTTCGGTAGTACACAGATAAGTGTAAGAAACAAGCAATACACGCACAAGTTTACTCAACTTAGCACATCACATGTAATTCAAGTGCATATGCATAAGTTGTAAGTGATAACAAATTAGATTAAAACTAAAAGTGGTAATAAATTCAAGTGCATATGCATAAACTGTAAGTGGTAACAAACAGTAACATAGACCAGATGCAGTTAATCAAGGACAAGCACAAAGGAGAAATGCAGAAGTTAAAAAGTAGCCATTAATAGTTGAGAGATTAAACTTAGATGAGTGATTGAAGTCAAATTGATAGATGAATAAAGATTAAAAATTATAGCAGAGGAATATCATGGATGAACAAATACTAAGGCAAGGCAGTGAACTTAGCAATCTGCAAATCCAATAAAAGATTACCAGCAAGTTAAGTTGAAAATAAAAAATTAAATGTGAAGGAAAACAGAGAAATGGTTTATATAAAGTATAAGCACACGTTAGTAACATCAAACACGTAAATGGTAAAACTAATTAATGCAAGAAATCAAAAGTTGAAGTAATTAACAATTAAAGCAAGCAAGGAATCTGAATTTTATATCAAATTAAACAGTTATTGGGAGTTCATTTCTCCACTACTAATTTTGCATTTAGATTGCTTGAGAGGTGTTGCTTATATCTACAGTCTTCAATTTAACTTGAACAACTTTTATGCTTATGACTTTCATCATCCAACATTTTTAATTATGATTTACAACAATTCGAACTAACAGCAAACCAAAATCAGTAAAATCAAGGCAGATAAAGTGAAATATATTATTGAATAGATACTGAAAAGATACTTTGCTACACTTTTTTCACTACCAAACTTACATGACTAAACCCCTGAACTGAAATCAAAGACAAAATGCAAAAGCACATAGCCACACATTTAAAAAAGAAAAAAAAAAGTGCTGAACAACAACTCGTTTGATCAAAAATTGAGCAGCAAACAAATATTATTGCTCCAAAACCTATCTCCTAAAAACCTTTAACACTCCAAAAAACTGAGTTTTTTTTACAATGGTTCCCCAGAGGCAAAGAATCCTAGCTCTTCACTGAATGCAAAAAGTGAAACATACCCAGATGCTTAAAATCGAAGATTACACGGTACGAATGCTTACACTTGCTCCCCTAACTACCCAGCACATCTTCTGGTCCATGAAGTGGCTTAGTATTTATTGTTAACACAGAAAACGAAAAGGAAATTGAAAAACGTATATAGAAGAATCACCGTCCATGATAATAGGAAACGATATCCTAGAGAGAGAAAATATGCGCTGCTTCCGTAGACAGAGCACTGTAATGGAGGAAATAAAGAGAGAGAGACCTTGGGTGGAGGTGCTGGAATTGCTGGGAAGCTTGGAAACAGGGTAAGCGGATGCAATCGTTGTGTGCAAGGGTTTGAAGGAGCTCAATTCTCTTCGGAACAATCTCGGCGTAACAATAGGGTTCTGGCGAGGAGTGAAATTCGAACCACGCAAAGAAGAAAATCATGAAAAGAAAGAAAATTTGGGGATTTAGGGTTTGGATAAAAAAAAGTGGGCTGGCCCAAGGTTAACCCACCCTAACCCAAAAGGAATGAGAGTTATTGGGGGTCGTTAAGTGTTTATTTACTTATTTATTTATACAAATTAATATTGTATAACCCTATCACATGTGAACTGAAAAAAAAAAAAAAAAGTTGAAAATTGAGGATGTAGGGTTGACTCGCGGGCCGGAGCCCATATTAACAGCTCTACTCGGTTAGTTGGCGGCTCGTTAAGTGTTTAGATTTGGTTTGGATTAATCAACCTAAACTCTGCATTCGGTCAATAGCCAATACTCTTGGTACGGTCCATATACTTTAAAATTTACCTTGCAAAAAACATATATGAATGTGTATTCTGATAAAATACACAAAAATATGATTTGATGTAAGATTAAAATTTAGGCATAAACAGAGTCTGGCATTAATAAACGCTTATTTTTCTCACTGTAACTTTCTATACTTGGTCAGAATTTAGAAATATTTGTCATTTAGTATTGTTGGCAAATATTTAAATGGATAACTATTTTTTTTTATAACTTTTTTTTATGTACCTTGTATGTATCTTAATTTTTAATTCATTAAAATTGATACATGTTAGTAGTGAGGGGTTTTCTACTGACGAGGGATTTGTGTTGTTTGTATTTATGTTATATGTTCAATTTTCAGTGTTGTATTAAAAAAAAACTTACCTCTTTATTTTCTCTTTTATTTCTCTCCTTTATTTTATAACATGTATCTCTCTTATCTCTGCCTCTTAATTTTATAAGAAGTATGTTATTATATTCTATTATACGACAGTTATATCAATTTTATGCACAACTATCAGATTTCAAATAACACAATCGGAACATAGCTGTTCATCACATAAATAAATTATTACACAACTCAACAGTATAATGGCTGACATTAAATAGCTCAATTAATTTCGAATCAACAAAAACTGAACCAAATTAACAAAAAATTTCTGCACCAAAAATAATTAACAAGAATTTCAAGCGGAGTAATTAGTCAATTTATCAAAACAATTTGTTGAGATGTTCTTATTGAAAAAATAAAATGAAGAAAAGAGCATTTATTATGAAAGAGGTTATACTTATTATTATTTTTTCTTATTATTAAATTTTAACCATTGATTTCCGTCAATCTAATAGTTGTAATTTATTGGATCATACTTATTAATTTCTAATATATTATAACCGTTAGATTGACAAAAATCAATAGTTAAGATTTGATAAAAAAAATAGATAATAAGTATAATTTTTTTCTTTTATTATTTAGGTCCACCACTAAAATTTTAAGAAAGTTAAAAGAAAAAAAAAAAGTTTTCTCTTCCCTGACACTGATGTAGCGTTCCGATACGACCCGTTAAAGCCCAAACAAGCCGATTAGGTCAGGTCCAGTACCAAAAGGAAAAACATACACGGGACTTAAGGCGGCGTTATTACAAGTCAAAAATCCCAATTACGATATGCACAGAAAAGCAAGTTAAATAATACCTAAAGGGGACACTCGACACCTCGTCACGCGCATTAGAAGCTGCATCTTAAAATTTAATATGATTTTTATGATTGAAAATTTTGTGTGTATCATTTCATAAACATTCATTAAATTTCATTAGTATTCATAAATTTAGATAAAATATAACCTATTTTAAATTAAAATATAACCTATTTAAGGTGAAGCTATTTAGATTTTAACAAGAGAAGAGGAAGAAAAGGAGAGTAGTAGGATCCAAACATGAGAGGGAAACAGAGACAGCACCGTCAGCGTGGTGCAGCTGCAGCGGAAGACGAGTCAATCACTGCAAACCTTTCTTCTTCTCCTTCTCCTTCGCAAGGTTACCACCAGTACCACAACCATAATTCGAGGAATCAAGGTCAACGACAACACCCCGCCAAATTGAAATTCCGCATTGTCAACAAGTCAGAACAGGTGTCTTCTTTTGATTCTGATTCTGTTATGGTTGGCGTTGATCATTTACGCCAACAAGTTTCCCTTGACCATGACGATTCTGATGTCACCGTCACACTCCAAAATCACCAAAAAGAGAACATTGATGCTGAAACCGATCCTTCAAGCAAGGCTATGGAAGGGGATACTAATGATAATGATAAAGATAAAGATGTTATGGGTAGGCTTGATAAGTTAATCAGTGATATGGAAGAACCTGAATTTTCCGACGAGCAGATCAGAATCAATGACCAATTGCAGCAAGATGAGGTCCGAATTTTTTTTTATTTTTTTTGTTGCAAAGATAAACGATATTTGGAGTTGTGGCCTAAATTTGTTAGAAATATTCAAATGTGAGTAGTAATGAAGTTCCACGTTGATTAAGCATGAACCGAGTGAGTAATATATAAGTGCGAAACCAAACACACTTATACTTTTAACATTAAGGTTTTTGAGTTGAGACGTAGTGTTGGTCTATTTATTGTGGTATATTAATTTGACCAAGTGGTGTATTTATCCCTTGCAAAGTGTCAAAGAAATATAAAATCATTAATTTATCTAGTAGATTAAGTTTTTGGATTGAAAGGCCATCACTCGGTTTTATATTTCTCTAGGGATATAATATGAAAACCATTAATGACCTTCACTTCTAAGCTTAAATTTTTGGGTGAGGCTAGATTAATATTGAAGAATTGAAATTCTTGAATTCTATGGTTTCCTTGATTTTGTGAAATGATTGATTTGGATGCTGAAATAATATGTTATGGCATTTTGTGGTGGCTGACTGGCTGTCCTTCTTTTTCTTGCTTTTCACTGAATCTTTCTATCTTACAGTTACTTGTGGTTGAGTCAATTTATGGAGAAAACGTTTTCAGCCTCGAGAGATGGAAAGGCCTGCGTTGTTTTCAGGTCTTGCAGTAAGCCAATAACATAGTTTTGCAAACTTTTCTTTCTTTTTTTAATACAGTGCAAATTGTCTGAAACCTAAACCTAACTTTCTCTTCTGTTTTCATTCCTCAGATACACATATACATTGATGTTTTGGGTGAAATTGCCATTACTGCTAAGCTGAACTCTTTTAATGAACTTGAGACAGTAAGCAGCAATTCGGATGGCTTCTTATACTCTTTCAAAGTCCAATATCTTCCACCCATTGTTTTGACGTGTTTATTGCCTGAGTCATACCCAAGCCACCATCCACCTTTGTTTACAATCTCTGTTCAGTGGTTGGAAACCAAAAAGATTTCCAGTCTATGCTCCAAATTGGATTCAATATGGGCAGAACAGCATGGGCAGGAAGTAATTTACCATTGGGTAGAATGGTTACATGGTTCTTCTCTTTCTCATCTGGGATTTGATAAGGAAATTACACTTGGTCCTTATGGCATGAATCGTATTGTAGATGAGCGTGCTGTTTCAGGGATTGTTTCTATTGATGTTGATATTCCTTTCTTACGAAATTACAACAATGAGAGACACCATGAGAACTTCTTCAAAGAATTGCATGAATGTTGCATTTGCTATAGTGAATATGCAGGTAATTTTCCAATTTATGCTTGACAAAATTTATACACATTATTATATAATTTTATAGAGAGCAAGCTTGAAGCTGTGGTAAAACTGTTTTATTGTGACTACAAGGTTTGAATCCGAAAAATAACCTTTTTGCAAATATTTAAGGGTAAGCGTGCGTCAAAGATTGTTCTCACGCCTCTCCTCACTAGTCGAGGTTTAATGGGAAGTGATTTTTGTATTAAATATATTTCAGTTATTAGTATTTTAAAAACTTTTTGTTGGGGAATCATTAACAACTTTGACTAATTGTACTAATTGGTGCTTTATTATTGAGTAGGCTATGTAATATATAACTTTTATGTTGTTGATTTGACAGCCAAAAGTTATTTTGTTTATACCATCCTAACAAAGCTCATTTTTTCAAATTTTTTTCAATTTATATTATTTTATTTGCAAAATACATTCTATTTAAAAGCTACTTATGAAATTGTGGTAGCAGACCAATATGAGTAACCTATGGTAGCTTGTACTTATAGTAGACCAATATGAAATTGTTGTTCGTTTTGTGTAATGAAACCAGGTGTTTGACTTCTTGGCTTGTTAATTAAGTTCATGGCTTCATGCTATTTCAATCCTGATATTGCTTTTGATGGACCATATATGAAATCCCTTTACAGTCTGGGCTCTGATTGCTGAAATGGATCTCTGTACTCCTTGTCTATTTTATCTTTCGTTGCCTCTTCAATGGACTTTATAATTCATTTCGTGGAAAAGATGATGCTATACTGCTTGAACTAATACAGTGCTTGGATTCCACTTTCTATTTGACATGCATCGACAATTTCATTTGCATTGTTGACTTCTAAAGAAGTTTTCGTTTCAACATGCTTTATTACTTATATGTAAGACTTGATTCTGCCTTTTTCCATGCTGCTCAAATAGAATTAATACTGAACATGGTTCTTATGTCTGCCACTTTATCTACCAAAATTTTGAAATAATAACTTCACCATCTAACAGGCTCTGAGTTTGTCCGGTTACCATGTGAGCATTTTTTTTGCCTCAAATGCTTGCAGACCTTTGCCCAGATACATGTAAAAGAAGGCACCATTAGCAATCTTCAATGTCCAGATGCAAAATGTGCGGTTATGATTCCACCTGGCCTTTTAAAACACTTACTGGGTGACAAAGATTATGAACGCTGGGAATCCATGATGTTGGAGAAAACACTTGCATCAATGTCTGATGTTGTTTATTGCCCAAGATGTGAAACACCTTGTATAGAGGATGAAGACCAGCATGCTCAATGCCCGAAATGCTTTTTTAGCTTTTGTACCCTTTGCAGGGAACGACGCCATGTTGGCATAGCATGCATGACACTAGATATGAAGCTTCAGATTTTGCAGGTATGGTATCTGGATTCATAATTGGACATTTAGTTTAGCTGGGTATTTTGGACTATATATGTGACACAGGAGCTGCTTCTTTTTAGAGGAAGTTAGAATTTCAATATCTTTATTGACAAAGGCATGTAACTTTGACAAGTGTTTATTCTATTATTTTTTTCCCTGGTTTTTACCATTAATTTTTTTAACCCAAAAAATGCTTCCAGTTTTCTGATTTTTGACCTTTTTATAGGACCGTCAAAATTCGTCTCAATTAAAGGATGATCAAAGGCATAGGGAACTTGAAAAGATCAATGAAATGCTCAGTATGAAAGAAATTCATCGTGATTCCAAGCTGTGCCCTTCTTGTGACATGGCCATTTCTCGAACTGAAGGCTGTAACAAAATGAAGTGCAGTAATTGTGAACAATATTTCTGTTACCGCTGCAACAAAGCAATTGATGCATCGGATCCATATGGACATTTCAGGTATTTAGCATTTAAGAGCACCATAGAAACTCTTCTGCATGCTTTGCATCTGCCTAAGATTCCAATTTACGGAATTTTTTTAGAACTTATCTTCTTCTTCTTTTCATTCAAGGGATGGGTCGTGTGAATTGTTCCCACGAGAAATGATTGAGACCTGGCAAGAGCGCGTAAATCATCGCCAGGTAGTAGGACAAATACAGGCTGAACTCTTTCCTCAACGTGGTCTGGCATGTCCTAGTTGTCGTCAATTTAATGCCAAGGTGTGTAAGTCTTTCTCTTTGTTTCTTACAAAAATATGACATGAAATTATCTGTTTTCTGACTAAATTGGATGGATTTAATATGGCTTGATTGAGATTATGTATTTGATCCACCTGATATACAGCTCTTGTGAACTCGATCCATTTTTCATATCTACTAAAGAAGTGACCATCGAGTCTTTAGCGTGTATTAATATAGTCTTATCATCATTTACACTATATCTGCAATTACTTAAGAAATCATCTAACATCTTTCTGTTAGCCTTGTATGTCCTTTTGCATCTCAAAGGAAGACTCTTTTTTTTTTTAATGATTGGGAAGGTTAGAATCTATGACTTCGCACAAACTAACCAGACCCGTTACCACTATTCCACTCCTTGTGGTTTGAGGAGGACTATTTCAATCCACTATTGAGCAAAGTTCTACTTTTGGATATCTAGAATAATCTAATTCCAATTTTGTCGGTTGAAAGATAGTTTTGCTGTCATCACTAACAATTTTCTCTACTGCCATTTTGAATTCATCAACAGGTTGGGAACAATAATCACATGTTTTGCTGGGCTTGCCAAAGCCATTACTGCTACTTATGCAAAGAAATTGTCAGGCGTGGCAGTAAGCATTATGGACCAAAGGGCTGCAAACAGCACAGCGAGGGATAGTATAAGCCGACACTCCCCGACACTCTAGCACGTGTTGCAGAGACTCAAAAAGGGTTTGAAGGTTGCGTTGCGTTGCTTTTTTAGTTCCAACTATTAGATTCGTTGGATTACGATTACCATTTCATTTAGTTTAATATAAATATTTGAGATATCTTATGTTTCTTTGCAAAATTGATGAATATTATAAGTTTAGCTTCATTTTTTTTGTTAAATTATTGAATATTAAATGTAATATACATTACATAAATTAAAAATATTATTTAATATCAAAACGTGTTCTAATGTATTAAAATCTAACATTTTTTAAAATTGACGTATCGGAGTGTCGTGTCTCGTGTCGGTATCGGTGTAACATAGATAAGCACAATGCCTTATCTTGGAACGATTATTTTTTTTATTTTTTTTGGCCATTGTGAAATGCAACATTCAATAAGTTATTCCAGATTGGTGAAGCCGCCATGATTAAATGCAAAGGTGGAAACCATCTGCTAAATGACCAGTGATTTTCAATTGTATTCTTCGGCAAAATTAAGGATGCTTGTTTCAAATACGTTCAAATTCTGGAAGAGGAAGAGAGTCAATAAGATTTTAATTTTACAACTGTGATCGGAATAGATATGTATTAATCATTTTTTCTTTCGTTTTTTATTTTTTGGTTGAAAATATAGTCTACCTTAAAAATTACAACGTTATGTTGGTTGCTTGGGAAGTGGGAACTGTCATTGGACGATTTGTCTTGTGTCCTGGTTGGTTAATTATTGACCTAGTGTTGTATAAATAGTTGGAGTCTCAGTACAGTAGAGATACACACAATTTTTTATTTTCAAATCAGACTACTTGCAAAAATTAAACACTTTGTCTTTTTCATATTTCTACCTTGGGTACTTTGCAGTCGCCCTTTATGTTTTGCAGTTTTTAGTTCTGTTATTTGTTCTATCCTTGTAATAACCCATCATGGATTCTTTTTTGTTACAAAGGAGTTTAAGACGTAGTGAGAGATTAAGCAGTCTTGATAGGAATTAGATTCCATAATTAAGTAATCCCCAAGAAACCTTTGCATCACTTGAGCCGTTCAACAAACATACTCTGCAAGTATCGCTAATCTCTTATGGTTAAGGGTACATTATTTTCTTTTGTAAATGGATTGTTTAGGATAAGTAATTAACAATCTTTTCTCCTACATGTTCAGAAAGCTTTATTTTCTAATTATTGTAAACTGTTTATGTACTCTCTTCTTGGAAGATTTATCACAAGCTTGGCTTTTCTGTCAACGGATGTCCAATGTCCCTCTACAAATAAAGAGGGACACTGAAAGACTACATCATATATAAGTTACATAGAGGCACAAAGATTTGCTCGTTTTATTGATTTTCCATATGACTGCTACATTATAAGGTAAATGAAGATAAATGTTACTACTCAAAAGGATCAATTATACACATGACCCTCAAGAACCCAACTAGATGTGGGAACCCACACGGTTTATTTCTTTTGCAACCGAAAGTGAAAAAAATACTCAAACTCCATCAGTGGCATTGCAATAGTTTCAATTCATCAATTCTTGCATGTCTAGATACCTAGTTCTTTTCCTCAATTATCTAGATTGATCAAGTTTCCGGAGTAGCATTATCCATTATATCCATTTCTGGTGTTATGTGCTTCTTACATCGTGTTATATCTTATTACAAATAATTGTCTTAATAAGATTTCACATATGCCTTCTTAAATTAAGATTTAATATTTTTTTTCTTTTGGACAGGCGAAATATAATATTCTTGGTACATAACTACTATATAGATAAAGTCGAAATGGCTCTTGTGATTTACCCTAAATTTTTTTTTATCTATTTTATCACTTACTTTTTATGTAATTCTTTTGTCTAATTTCTAATTTATAAATAATAATATGTTAAAAATACCCTTCGATCATGCTAAGTAATTCAACTCTTTTTCTCCATTTTTAATGATTTCAAGCTTCAGCCCCACACAAATATATAAATATGTTGTTTACAGTTTAAGAATGAAGGAGCATTAACCCCCAAGGGTAGCTCAGTTGGCAATGTATCTCTCTTCTTAAATGGGAGATTAGTCTCATCCTTCATTTGGTAGCGAAGCTCAATATACTCACAGGTTGAATGAGGATATCCTTCAGGTTATACCAAAAAAAAAAAAAAAAGGAAAAAGAATGAAGGAGCATATGATGTTTCGTTCTCTTAACATATGAGCAAAATGTACAATTTATACAATTTTAAACGATATTTAGGTCAATTTTTTTTTGGTAGACAATATTTAGGTAAACTTCAACAAAAAGAAGACATGAAAAATAAGTGATAAAAAAATATTAAGGAGTAAGTAATTTTAAAGAGGAAATATATTTTAATCCTACTCTGAAATATAATAATATAATTAGCAGATCATAATGGAGAAAGTGACCCAGTACACTAAAAATAAAAATATGATTTTTTTTTCTCATTTACCAAAAAAAATGATTTTTTTCTCCATTTTTATTCAATTTATAATCAAATTTAATCAATAAATGGTTAGGTCGTTATAAAAAATGAACCAGGAAAAAAAATCAAGTCTGAGAATGTTCTAATAGTGAATTAATTAAGATTTTTTTTTTTCCATATATTTCGGAATGGAGCCAAAAAACGAATAATTTTTAAAACTTCGATATAAAATTAAAACTTTCATTCATTCTTTTTTTGGAAATATTCCAATCGGTTTATCGCTTCGCAACTAAAGGAGTGTATTGGATTGAGATTTCAAAGGATTCTAATGGATTGTTTTTGGACAAAAAAATCGGATAGTATTTGATTAGGATTTTAATGGATTGAAAAAAAGTCACATGTTATTCGATTAGGATTTTAAAGGATTATTTTAGAATCCGTCCAAATCCGTTGGTATTCAATCATGATTTTAGACAATGGAATCACAATCTCGTGGTATTCAAAAATTCGACGATTTTAATGGATTTTCTATTGGATTGGATTTCGTGAGACTTTTTAGAAAAAAATATAAATAGGATGTCTCTCTCACAATCTCACCCCAACCCCTAGGATTTCTTGAGATTCTTCTAGTGCAGTGTTTTCTTCTTCCTTTAACAGGTTGACTGCTCGAAATTGGGTTCCGTCATGGGAGCTTCGTCAAAAGTAAAAAATAAATAAATATTTTTGAGCGATTTTCATCACAAAACAATCCAAAAACAACAAACTAACGAGATTTTAATATAATCTGTCTCAAAAAATAACATATTTTGTAGTCATTTTTTAGAAATTTTAAAAGTTTAAAAAGTGATTTTTTAAGCTATGCGTCGAAGTTTCAGGTCCATATTACTTTTTGATTGTAAAAATTTAACAACTACCATATCTGAAGACTGAAATGAATTGGATCCCATTTGGTTTCTACATTAATTAATTTTCTAATTTAGCTCTTAACTCTGTACAAAAGAATAGATTTCACATGTCTATTTTTTGTTTTATTTTTATTTCCTAAAACAAATAGACGTGTGCAAGGTGTATGTCCAAAGGGTACAAGGCCCAATCTAAGTCATAAGATGGATAACTTAAATGTTAAATAAAAAAATTACTGTAATTTTTTTCAAATGTTATAAATATTTACTTAAAAACGAAAAATTACTTGTTCCTTCCTCGTTGAATCTACATTCAAATATACCCATATCAATGACAAAAGGAAACTATGTAAATATACAAGTGAGACACAAAATGGAAAATAAAAGGACTTTAATATTCAAGTTGAGTGTTCTGTGATTACGCTTAAAAATTATAATTAATATTCAATCAAATAATTTTTTTAATTATTATCATTCAATTAAATCTTCTCCATTTAGGTAACAATTACCCTTATTAACATTTTTTTCTTTCTTTCTTACTTTTTGAACCCTCATTTCAAGTATAAAATTCACGAAAGACCACATTTAGAGAAAGAGAAGAGCGAGGTGGTGCCTCTCTGAACATGGACACACCAAAGAGGAACCAAATGAACCCTCCCTCCCCTAACTTAGAGGATTCACCTGTGTTCAACTATATCAATAATTTATCTCCTTTGAAGCCCCTTAAGTCTCTTAACAATACTCAGACTTTCAATTCACTCATCTTTTCATCCCCTCCTCGTGTTTTCGCATCACCCCATGTTAGCTGTTTCAACGCATTTGGCACATCAAAGGTTTCTTCTGAAGATGGAAATGATGTTTACTCAAGTGATCTGGCTCTTGCAGATTCTACTCATGCACATCATTGCTCAAGAGAATTGTATGAAATTACCACCAATAATGATGGGATAATGCACGTTGATGATTCAGTTGCTTCTGATTTTGAACTTGATATCCAAGATCATTGTTTTGAGCCAATAGCAGCCACAGTCACAGACCATACACATCAGGACAATCTTGCCAATGTTGCTTTGATGATGAGCAATCCAAATGAGAAGACAAATGATGAGGTAGGAAAGGGAAATTTATGTGTATTATATATTTTACAGCTAGCTAGACTTTGGTTAAGGTTGTTTGTTCTGACCTTGAAGATCACATGTTTGAGTCCTAAAACAAACTCTTTATAAAAAAAAAAATACAAGGGTACAATTATGTACGACCAACAACCCTCATTCTTATTCTCGCAAGATGGGAAGCTTTGTGGACTAGGGTTTCCCCTTTTTCAGGTTGGATGAATGTATCCAAGAGTTTATCTCAAAGGCATGATTTTTTTAGGTTATGTTGCGTTGATATGAATATATATGAGTATCATTACCCATTATAAATATTGATAAAAAAACCTTTTTCTTGAAAAAATATTCGACTGCAATTTAATGGTGTATTATACTTGTATATATACTAGTACACCATTAAATTATATAACCATCTTTTTTACTATTATTTATGTGTATAATTGCATATATGTCTTGCTAGTCACCATTTGTTATGGTTTCTATTGAAGTAGCATTTATAATCATTACTTTATATGTACATCATGGGAAAAATCAATCATTATATTTTATGTAAGGGGAATGTTATATTTACAAATTTTTTGTTTACAAACTCTTATAAATTACACTATATCTGATCGGTAATACACTCTTGAGTAGAACATTATCGGTCAGAAATAGTGTAATTTATAAGTTTGTAAAAAATGAAGTTTGTAAAAAAAGAAGTTTGTAAACGGATCCTTTCCCATTATCTAATATATTTTTCTAACATGAAAATAATAAAAAAGACATAATCATTTTATAATTATTTTATTTATTTTTCTTTTGTTTCAAGCTTGTTTTGCACCATGCTTCATGGATGTATAGACTTTGAAGTGGCCAGTGAGCAAAGTAATAAGAATACAGATGAGAATTCAAACACTACATCACAGTCTGTTGAGAAGAATGTTACTAATGAAAACCATCTTCTTCTTCCTACAAATTGCAATGGGAATTCACAAAGTTTCACTTTGCCAGAAATTAGTTCACACTTGAACACACTCCCAAGCTTAAAAAATTACAAAGGTTTCACTTCTTCCTTCAACCTCTCTTTAAGCCAAGAACATCAGCATTCACCATTGGTATCTCAATCATCTGAAAGAGAATTGGATCCACCAGAGAATCAAGTTCAACCTGCAGAAGAAGATTTCAATCAGAGCAGCTCCAACAAGAAAAGGCGAAAAATGGAAGAAACTGATCAGGGATGCAAACGTTGCAATTGCAAGAAATCAAAATGTTTGAAGCTTTATTGTGAGTGTTTTGCTTCTGGGGTCTATTGCTTAGAACCTTGTGGCTGTAAGGATTGCTTCAACAAACCAATTCATGAAGATACTCTTGTTGTATCTCGAAAGAAGATTGAATCTCAAAACCCTAATGCATTTGATCCTAAAGTCATTGGAACCGGGGATGATGATCAGAAAAATACTCCAGCATCAGGTTCAGCTCGACATAAAAGAGGATGCAACTGCAAGAAATCAAGTTGCTTGAAGAAATATTGTGAATGTTTTCAGAATGGTGTTGGTTGTTCTATTAATTGCAGATGCAAAGGTTGCAAGAACACATATGGTAGAAAGAATATAAAGGATGGTTCTGCTCCAATAGGAATAGAAGCTGATACAGAAGAACCACAAACATGTGAAAACATGCCAGGTATTAATTAATTAATCTCTTAGGTGATGGCTCTCATATCACTTGCATCAAAATTTCTTCTCCGAATGGCAAGAGGATCTCTCTTCTCCTATTTGTGACTTGGGATCATCTCCTAGTAGCAGAGGTGGCAGCAACAAGTTGATATCACAATCAATACCTTCCTTTCCTTCTCTCAGCCCCTCATAATTAGAGTGAGGATATTTTTTTAACTTACACTCTATGTTTCCTCCCCTCTTTTTAATCTTGTATTTAGTTTGTTGCAATAGCTGCTATGCTTAGGTTTATGTCCATTGAGCTTCTTTTTACTTTGGTAATAATATGTTGTGCTCTTGTAAAAAAATAAAGAAAATAATTATAATAATAATAATAATAAAGAAATATTTTTTTCATTTTACATGAAATTTTTTTCTTATATTACAACTCACAATTAAAAGGTGGTCTTATCTTTATTTGTTTGTTTTCTTATTTTTTTTTGAACTTCATTCATATATTATGTGTGTAACATAAGAAAATATTCTCATGTAAAATGAAAACATTAATCTCCAATAAAGTATAGCGGTCAATTAACTCCTATGAAATTCGGAAAGTGAATTGCGCCGTCAGGAGGAGAAAGTGAAAAAAATGTCTCTTATACTACAAGTAATAATAATAATAATAATAATAATAGACATGTGAACTAGTGATACTCGTACACAAGTTTACCATCGCATAAATTGTGTTCTGATTATGTATCCACAGTTAATGTATACTTCTATTAGAAATAATTTTAAATTAATTATTTATACGAATGAGAAGTTTGAAAAGACACGTCTCTTTTGATGAAACAGACACCAGTAAATTTTTACCTTCCACCTTTTTATATAAATATGAAGATTCTAGGAAAATCTTTCCACTTTTTCCGATTGCTTTCCTGTGAATTTTTTTACATTATATCTTTCAATAATCTTCTCATGCGATTATTTTATCATTTTGTTAATTTTGAAAGGGCTCTCTTAATATATTTTGTTCTAATTTGCAAGAGATGTAATATATTCTATTTTGAAAGAAAATTATCCATTTTATCTAGCATAGTAAAAGGGGGGAATTGTCTTAAAAAAATAAGGACAATTCTTGAACTCAATTTTTTTTTTTGGTTCTTCACCACATGCTTTTGGTGATCTTGCATAAATTTGATTCATATTTCTTGCATGCTTTGAGTATTGATTATGACATGCATTTTTTTAAATAATTTTATATACAAAGATTTTGTCTCCCACACGATCCAACATTGTTTTTGCAATTACTAGTGCTTTAAGATTAAACTATCTACAAAGGAAAGGTTATATATTTACAAATTTTTTGTTTATAAACTAGATTATGTTTAACCGGTCATACTTCAATTAAGAGTGTATGATCGGTCATACTTAGTGTAATTTGTAAAAAAAAAATTATAAACGGATTCTTTGCCTTATTCAAAATAGATATTGAACAGTATAATATTTATGATAGAATAGTTGCTGTCTCTATTATATTTTTTTTACAGTGTTGAAGCTAAAAATCAGGAAGCTACTTTATGCATTGTTACATTTTAGGATGGAGTTGTTGCTGTCTCTATTATATTTTTTGGGAAGTATTCTGTGTAATTTTTACATTTTAATTATGTTTTGGGACATATTAGTGAATATTGTTACAGAATTTAACTGTCATATAAGTATGGGTAAAAAAGAA